TGTAGGGGTGGCCTCGGGGTACAAGAGGCAGCCTTTGGGGATTCCAATGACCTATATGTTCAGCGGGAGAAGCAAGACACAAAATGGGCCGTGGCCTCGGCAATGTATAAAACCACAGGGGGAGAGCCACCAAAGAATAGCGTGGGGCCCTGGCCCATGTGGCTCAGTGGTTAATGTGTCTGCCTGCCACCAGAGGGTCTCAGGTTCAAGTCCTCCTCCCTTCCACTCGCTCTAAAAATCAATGGAAAAAATATCCTCAGTCCTCAGGTGAAGATTAAAAAGATAAATAAAGCGGTTATCACAGGACGGCAAGTGATGCCTATTCTTGTCTAAACCTCACTGTTCAGAGGCAGGGAGGGTGGGCCGTGGCCCAATTTGGGTCTAGAAAGGTCTCTTTGGCGGTGCATACGGGAAGGGTGGAGGGGTGAAGTGGGACAGGTGGAGGGGTGACGTGGAAAGGGTGGAGGGGCGAGGAGAAGGCAGCTCCTAGCAGGCTATGCCAGAGGCCTCAGCAGTGAGAAAAGACAGAGTAGAGGCCGGACAAAGGGGAGGGCAGGGTCAACCCCGACAAAAGCACATTATGTAAGAGACACAAGAGCAGAGCAGAATCCCCAGACGTCTCACCCCAGGGACCGGCCCAGGCCGTGGCGAAGGGCCGCAGCCCAGGTGGAGCCGGGCACTGCTTCCGGCCGCCGGGTCTCTCTGCAGAGCCCGGGCAGCCGCCCACGTGGGCAGGGGGCGTCCAAAGCAGACACCTCCGTCCCTTCGCTTCTGGGACCTGCAGCCACTTCCTAGAGTGGACAGGTGAGTTTTTCAAACTGCATTGGGAAAGGGCGTTCATTGTGTCGCTCAATAAGCAAACAAGACACCTGTACCGGCCGGAAGGGGTGTCCCCTGGCAACAGCCTTTTCGGGGCTCCATCCGGAGGCCTCTGTGACCGGAGGCAGGCTGGGGTGCGGGGTGAGGGTTCGGGCAGCCTCTGATGACCAGCCACACACTGGACACAACCAATGTCCGGTATAGAGGATGGTAACACACCCCACCTGCCCCGAGAGACACCCAGAGGAAGAGGCAGACGTGTGTGTCCTGACGGGGAGAGATGCTCACAGTACACTGAGCGAAAAATCAAACCACAGCAACACATAATGGGACTCTTCTCATAAACAGAGCTGACTGCGTGCGTCCACAGGCCGCAGCCGGCGCACGCCACACTGGAGTGACTTCTCCTGGGAGCGGATCGGAGGGAGAAGTAGGGAGGGAGGGAGCGAGCGTTGAGCTTCCTGCCTCACACTCCCACACCGCGTGTTCGATGCCTCTGCGACTTCACAGTGTTCCTAGCGCAGTGGTGGGCAAGCCTGAGCCCCATGCGGCTCTTGGCCCCTGGAGTGTTCTAACGCCCCTTCTTCAAAATAGACTCGCCCAGGCCGAAAACCGACTTCTGTGCATGGGCCACACTCAGGGGGCCCAAGAGCCGCGTGTGGCTCGCGAGCCACAGTTTGCTGACCACTTGTCCTAGTGGATGCAGAGAGGTGGGAAGGACTGGAGGAACTGGGTGTGACTACTAATGGGGTCGAGTTTCTTTCAGGGTGATGAGAATGTTTGAAAACTGATTGTGGTGATGGTTGCACAACTCTGAATACACACACACACACACACACACACACTGACCTGTGCACTTGAAGTGGGTGAATTGTTTGGCAGGTGAGTTATGTTTCCATAAAGCTGCTCTTTCGAAAAAGAATGAGCCAGGGGAAAGGTGATCCTGGCGGGAGGGAGGGGCACAGGTGCGCGCAGACTCCCTCACAGCCCTCCCAGGGGAGTATGTGTGTGTAGGGGGTTCCTCAGCCCCCCGCTTCTCATCCTGGTCAACAGAGTTTCTAGAGCCAGGGAGGGTCCTTCAAGGCTGTACGAGAGGCAGAGGCCCCTCCAGGCAAGGCCTGGCTTCCGGCTAAAGGCGCAGCACCGGCCCCTACTTGCACATCTTGAGCAACGGTGAGCTCACTCCCTCACCTGCTCCATGCAGGTTTATGTGGCTGAGGCCACACGCAAAGAATCCCCAGTACGGCTCTGACCGGGGCCACCCAGCACCTCTATGCTCTTGTCCCAGGCCTGTCCTCTGGGCCTAACCCCACCCTTCACCTCCTGGTTCCTGTAGGGTCCCCACACCGCCCTCCCGCTCCAGATAACCCGTCATCTCACACCCGGGCCAGCATGGAAGGAGCCCAGACGTCAGGGTTTCTGAAAACCCCGGGGAATTCATGAGTCCAGAGACCCTGACCCCGGGACGGCACAGCCCTCAGAGAAATGGGGCCTGACCCACAGCTCCCACTGCCCCCTTCCGGCTCCACACACCTGCCCCCGCCTTGCCCACCAGAGAACCAGCGCCGGGGAGACCGCCTCCATCAGAGGTGTTGGTGAGCACGTGCGACGCCTCAGCCACCGGGCTGCACGTCTCACCTTGCTTATCTCGTTAAATCAATAGGACTTCATAGGAAGGGACTCTGAGTCCACTTTACAGATAAGGGCATGGAGATTAAGAGGCTGGGCCAAGGTCCGGCCAGCTAACACGCCAGTGGAGCCCGTGTGAGGACCCTGGGCTGGCTCAAGCCTGGAGGCGACTTGTGGGGAAGATTCAGGACTGTTCGTCTCTGAGCTGGGAGGGACTTCAGCCATCGGGTAGCCCCCTCCGCCGTCCTCCACTGGGGAAACTGAGGCCCGGACGGAGCGAGTGGCTGCCCAGGTGCCGCAGGCCTCCGGCTCCGGGGCCGGGGCTGTGTCCTCCACGCAGACTCCCTCAGGAAGGCAGGAGGAAATCGTCCGCCCCAGCCCCACGGGGCCGGTGAGAGAACAAGCAAGCCCCTGCCTGCCAGAGGCTTTGAAATCCCAGGATGAAAGGGCCTGTGACAGCAAAACAGCAAAACAGCACCGTGGGCAGGAGCGCGCCTGACCCCTGCCAGGACTTGCCCGCTGGCATTCACCTGCTCACCTGCTCGCTCACCTGGGGCGGGCCAGCCAAGCCACAGAACCCCAGCAGGCCTCGGAGGGAGCTCGGAGGGGGCGCTGTGGGCAGGGGTGTTCCGAACCCTGACGTTCCTACGGGGGCGGCCCCAGCTCTCCTGGGCGGGGAACAGGCCCAGGTAGGGAGGGCACTGGAATGTTAATTGGCTGGCATGAGCGTGCCCCCTGCTCTCTGGGTGGAGGGAGGAGGTGCGGGATCGCTGGGGGTGGCGCAGGCATGCCCTCATTCCCCTCCAGCGCAGGTCTCCAAGGCCCAGCACTTCCCTGGGACGGGCCGGAGGCCTGCCGGCTTCCTCCCGTCCAACCGCCCCCCCCCCCAGGAGCCCCTCCAGGTGAGCTCCGACCGGGAATCCGAGGCATCTAAGGGGGTTATTAATAGCCCTGGAGTGCTGGGAAGAGGGAGGCCGGCCGGCCCTGAGTGGGCACAGCCCCCTGCCACCCAGCCTGGTCTCCACAAAACAAACCAACCCTGTCCGCCCGGGACACTTCACCTTCTGTGGTCTCCGCCTCCTCCCCGGCCCGGCAGGGGGGCGGGCGGGAGGTGGGAGGAGGGGAGGGCCGGGGCGGGCGTGGGAGAGGAAAAACCCCACTGGAGAAAGCGAGGCACACCCACCCGAGCCGGGCGAGGGGCCCCCACAGGAGGTCGTGAATGGACGGCCTGTTGCAGAGCCCCAGGAGGCGGCCGCCGCCAGGGAGGGGACCGGAAGGCTCCGCCCGCCTCCCCCTCCCGAGTCCTGTCCTCCAAGCAGAGTTCCAGGACTTAACCCCCTGCTGGTCCCGGGCTGCAGAGGGATCTGACTCACTCCGACATCACCCTCCTCTCAGGCCCAGCCCCAGATTCCGGCACAAAGGGGGAGCTTAGGCGGGGGCCCAGGACCACAGTCACCGGACAAGCCTTCCCCGGCCCCTGCTTTGAGCCCGGAAGGGGGTGGGACCCCGAGTGAAGGGCCACCCGGTCCCTGTTCTGCGGGCAGAACACAGTGGTTGGAACTTCTCTGCGGGGCAAAGACTCAGTGCTCCGGGCATGACGGACAGGGAGAGGCAAATACTGGGGGGAGGAATGGTCTCCCCTTTCCATGGCTGCCCCGCACCCCCAGGGACCCGCACCCTGTGCACGGGCGCCAGGCCCTGTGCCAAGCAAGGTACCTAAGTTACCCCACTTAAGTCTCTCAACAACTCAGAAGTAAGGAAGAAACCATTCATCCCATTTCCAAGAGGAGAAAACCGAGGAGCCAGGACCCTGAGAGGCCTGCCTGAGAACTCACGTGGGAACCAACCCCGGGGTTCCACCAGGCAGCCTCACCGGCGGGGAGGTGCGCCCCAGAACTGAGGTTCCCAGGTGCCCCTCCCTCCATTCTCTGGGGCTGGGGAGGAGGAACCCCAGACTCTGCTACAATCACAGGCTTCCCCCAGGGAACAGCAGGAGCACCCTGCTGCCCGAGCCACAGGATGGGGCTCTGACGCGCCCCTCCTGCGCACCCCAACGATTCCCAGCCCCCTGCCCAGGCTCAGTCCCGGCATCTATGGGCTCAACCCTGGGAGTCTCAGCCACGTGTCCTGGGGCCGGGCCGGGCCGGGCCGGGGAGCTGGGACTGGGACAGAGCGGCCTGGGGTGATCCGGGCGGGAGATCCGAGGTGGGGGCTGGGGGGAGGAAATAGGACACACACCCCCATTGCTCCATTGGGGTGGTGTTCTGGGGGATCCGACGGGACCGGCTCCAAGGGGGTCCCCTTAGCGGGGAGAGGGGTCCAGTCCTCTCGGGGGGAGAAGGAGGAGCTCCAAAGAGGTTGGGGAGGGGCACCCAGACGTGGGGGAGACCCGCTTGGACGAGGGCCTCGGTCCCAGCCACGGCCGCCCTCCCCGGGCCCGGCCCTCCGGACCCCAGCCCGCGCGGTGGGTGGCCGGTGCGGGGCGCGGCCAGGGACCCGGGGGAACCCGGGGGAACCCGGGGGGACCCGGGCGGACCCGGGGCCGGACTCACCTGCGATGTGCTGGCGCCGCGCGTCGTCCAGGTGCGTGGACAGCACGTCCCCCATCGCGAAGGTCCCGGCCGCCGCCGCCGCCGCCCGCGCTGCTCAGGCGGACGCCGCGGGCGCCATGAGCCGCTGCCGCCGCCGCTGCCGCTCCCGCTGCTCCCGGACCCGCCGCTCCCCGCTCCCCGCGCCCCGCTCCGCCGCGGCCCCCGCTCTGCCCGCGCTCCCTCCGCTCCGCCGCGTCGCCGGGGACAGCCCAGCCCGGCCCGGCCCGCCGCCCGCCCCGCCCGCCCCGCCCCGCCAGGCGCCGCCCCGGCCCGCCCCGCCCCGCCCTCCTCGGCCCCGGACGGGCGGGCGGAGACAAAGGGCTGATCGGGGACGGGGACCGGAGAGGCGCGGAGGGCGCGCGGGACCCGGCCTCACCGGGGACGGAGACGGGGCTGGGGGTCCCCTGGTGCCACCCCCTCCCTGCCCCGAGCGGGAGGCAGCCCCGCCGAGGAGGACGGGGTGGGGCGGGGGGGACAACTGGGGGGCTGGGAGGGGGCGCCCCCTCTTCCCCGCACCCTGCCCTCCGGCCCCAGCCTCGCCCGCCGCGGCCCGAACCCGGGAAGTCCCCGCCTGGGTCAGACCCCGGGCGGGTGTGCCCGCCCGTCCTGCACGGCCCGCCGGGGAGCGGAGGGGCGGGCGCTCAAAGCCCTTCTTGGTCCCGGCGGCGGGGGCACATTCCTTGGGCTCGGCATACGGGTCCTGCCCTGGGGAGGTGGTGGCCCGTGGGACCGGCCCAGGGAGGAATGGAAACAATAATAGCTCTTTCCTAAGACTCGGATTCGAAACCCAGGGGCCCGCAGGCATGGACTGAGGGCGCCAGGCCTGGAGGGGCTGGGTTGGGTGGGTCGCGGGTACCGGAGGAATGTGTTTCAACCCCCACCTTGGGACTTGCCCCGGTGGACAGAGGGGTTACTACCCACCGCGGTTCCCAGATCACGGGCCTTCCTTGGCTGCTGATACTCAGACCCTCTAGGCTGCAACCCAAGAGTCATCCAGTTGAATTCTCTAGGAATGGGGTGCAGGGGAAGTGATTGCAAAAAAAAATCAGAAGGGAGCTTTAGGGGAAGATGGAAATGGTCTATGCCTTGAGGGGAGTAATGGTCATAATACAGGAGTCAACACTCAACCTACATATGAATGATGCATTTTGTTGTATGTAAATAATGCTTGAATAAAGTTGATTTTAAAAGGATAAGATATATGGAGCCCCTGTGTGTGATGGCGATACATCAGTATAACAAGGTCATCGAGGGCTCTGCCCCGCAGAGGTTATGTTCTCGTGCTGGAGAGAGAACAGGAAATAAAGAGCATGGTTTCAGAGAGCGGTGTTCATTAAGATAATAAAACAATGAGGGGATAGATTGGCAGGTGTGGGGGTGCCACCTAGAAAGGTGGTCTGGGAAGGCCTCTCTGAGGAGGTGACACTTCGGAAGCTGCTCTGGGAAGATCTGGGAACAGCTGCCATTTATGGATCAGGCACCCTGCCAGGAAGCCTTATCTGCCCTCCTCACAACTTCTCTGTTGGAAGAATCACCAATTGTTCTAAAACATGATATTGTATCATATGCACATGGCAGTCCTTACCTAAACTCCGAATAGGTGGGCATGGAGGGGGCATGCTAGGTAGAGTGTCAGTGTGAAGCCCTGGCCAGGTAGCTCAGTTGATGAGTGTCATCCCCATTCATCGAGGTTGTGAGTTCGATCCCTAGTCTGTGCACAGACAAGAATCAACCAGTGAATGCAGAAATAAGTGGAACAACAAAGCACGGCTAGTGTCTCTCTCCCCCGCCTTCCTCTCTCTCAAATTAATCAATCAATCAACTTTTAAAAATAGTGTCCGTGTTAAGACCCTGGAGCCCTGCGACTAGCCCAAGACACCTATGAGAGGAGGGGGTCCCTGCCACGGTGGGGGGCCACTAGGAGGCCCCTCCTGCACCAAAGCATTGGGTTGCTTTACTTTATTCTGGGAAGATTGTAAAGTTCTTTTATATATATATATATATATATAAATATATTTCTTTATTGATTTTGGAGAGCAAGGGAGAAGGGGAGATATAGAAACATCAATGATGAGAGAGAATCATTGATTATCTGCCTCCTGCACACCCCCTTACTGGGGTTCGAGCCTGCAACCCAGGCACGTGCCCCTGGCCGGAATCGAACCCATGACCCTTCAGTTTGCAGGCCAACGCTAAATCCACTGAGCCACGCCAGCCAGGGCATAATGTTCTTTAACAGTTGTCAGCAGCCCTCTATTTCCTGTTAATAAATCAGGCCAGTGGTGATCTTTGGGTGGGGAAAGAAGGACGGTTTTTAAAGGAAGGAAAATTGAATAGAGTCATCAGTACTCTATGAGGAAGCGGGAAGGATTAGGGGTTCCAGGAAGTTAGACGTCGGAAGGATTTCTCTACAATAAAGAAGTGGGAGCCCCTGCCCTTCCACCTGAGAATGTTTTGCTTTGTTTTCCTCGTTCTCAAGATGCATCACTTTGTTTTCCTCAGGAGGCACCACGCGTTATAAACCATAAGCACGTGACAGCCACAGGACTGCCCTCAGCATGCCCAGGGTTCCCACGGGCTCTGGGTCTCACAGGCAGAGCAGTTCTCGGAGTCCAACATCACAGCCACGTGCTCCTTTGATGTTTGGGTTACTGAACACAAGCTCCCTGGATAATTTGTCCTCAACAGAGTCCATTCCTAAAAGTCTTCACTGTGCTTCCTGCCAATGACCGCCCTGATTCCATCTGAGCAACTTCTTCATCAGAACCTCCGTACGTTTTTGTTCTAGGGCAAGCATGTCAAACTCGCGGGCCACGTGCCTTGTTTATTTGCAAGGCATGCGGCCCACCAGCCTCGAGTTTGACATGCTTGCTCTAGAGCACATGTGTCAAACACAAGGCCCGCGGGCCAAATCCGTCCCGCCAGGCCTTGCAATGTGGCCCGCACCCCGCTGTCATCACTGCACTCCTCTGCGTTTCCATCACAATGACAGTTTATGACTGTTCAGTAAACCATTCGGCCCGCGATTTAGGCTGGATTTTAGATTTTGGCCCCTTCTCTGATTGAGTTCGACACCCCTACTCTAGAGTGTAAGAAAGGCCATTACAACACCCACGTGTGCAGGCTTCTCTTTAAGGAGGTGTTCGGTGTTGTTTACTGCTGACGGACAGCGGCCCCAACTAATGCGGCCGGCATCCTCCCAGTCCCTGCTCTCCGGGTGTCTCCGGCCAGAACTGGTCACCTCGGCCTCTCTCCACCGACATGCAGTGCATTCACTTCAGGCCCTTTTGTTTTGTTTTGTTTTGTTTTATATTTTATCGATTTTTTAGAGAGGAAGGGAGAGAGATAGAGAGTTAGAAACATCAATGAGAGAGAAACATCGATCAACTGCCTCCTGTACACCTCCCACTGGGATGTGCCCAAAACCAAGGTACATGCCCTTGATCAGAATCGAACCCAGGACCTTTCAGTCCGCAGGCCGACGCTCTATCCACTGAGCCAAACCGGTTTGGTTTTTAGTTCTGAGTAATTAAAACATCTTTTCACGTGTTTGTTGGTTATTTGTGGGTTTGTTTTTTCTTTATTTTTGTTTTACTTTATTTTATTTTTTGTGTTTGTGTGTGTGTGTGTGTGTGTGTGTGTGTGTTTGTTTTTTTTTAATTCCTATTCTCTGCCAGCTTTTCTCCTGGGATGTCTATCTTTTTTATTTGATCTTGAAGCATTCTTTCTATGGGAAGAATTTCTGAAGTCTGATCTTCTCCTAGGGCGCTGAGGGCCATCTCTGTCCACCAGGCTCTGCCCCACCCTTGCCTTGGCCCAGGCCCCAGGCCTCTAGCCTCATGGAAGATACCAGAATGTGAACAAAGGCTAGGAAGGGTCCAGATCAAGCGCAGGGAGGGAGGGTTCCTCCTGCCCACCTGCCAGGCCTGCCCCCTCCCTACAGCTCCCGATTCAGCCGGCCTCTGTCAGGAAGAGGCTTCTGCCAACCTGCCTCCTGCAGGGCCGCCCCGCCCCACGCACCCACACTTAAAAAGAAGGACCCGAAGGTGATGAATAAGAACACTTCACTGTGAAAGGGAGGGCCCAGCAGGCAGGGGCCAGAGCTTGGCCAGGAGCCAGGAGAAGAGGAGGGATCTGCCCCAGAACACCCAGGAGGGTCCCCGGCCCGGACCCCTCCAGGGTCATTGGCAGGAGAAGGACCTGCCTTGACCCCTTGTGTCCCTCTCCCTCCCAGCTGGCTCTGAGCTGGGCTCTGCTCTCCCCTCAAACCTGTCAGACCTGAAATAGCCCAGGAGAAAAAAAACAAACACCTCGGGTAAACAACAGGGAGTGTGAATGAATCAGGATTTTGTTTTGAAGAAATATCATGTGTCTTCTGCTGTTTACCCAGTTGGCATGGCCCGTTGTGCGGAAGGGGCCCTGGCACTCCGCCCGGACCTCCCCTCTGTATTAACTGTTGGGCGGTGGTGGATGGAGCCTCGGCTCAGCCTGTGCCATCTGTCACCTGGCCTTGGGCTGCTAAACTGCCTTCTTGCCCCTCCCGGTGGCCAGCTCCACCCCACAGCCAAGGCCAGGCCCCACGGCCAGCCGCCGCCCTGCTGACTGCTGCCCAGCCCAGGACTGGCCTCCGGCCTCCATGCATCCCTCCCTGGAAGCCAGCAGGTTGTTCTAAAACACCCATGTGACCAGGTGGTTCCCCTGCTTCCAACCATCCGGCTCCCACTGTCTCAAGACAAAGTCAGGCCCAGCCGAAACCGGTTTGGCTCCGTGGAGAGAGCGTCGATCCGTGGACTCAGGGGTCCCAGGTTTGATTCCGGTCAAGGGCACGTACCTTGGTTGCGGGCACATCCCCGGTGGGAGGTGTGCAGGAGGCAGCTGATTGATGTTTCTCTCTCATCGCTGCTTCTGGCTCTCTGTCCCTCTCCCTTCCTCTCTGTGAAAAATCAATAAAATATATTAAAAAAAAAAAAAAAAAGAAAAAGAAAAAGTCTGACCCAGACCCTAACGTGGCTCTGGCCAGCCTCTCCATGGCCCCCTCCCCCTTGCCCTCTCTGACCTTTCACATCCTCATACAGCCGCTCTCCCTCCTGCGTCAGGGCTTGCACGTGCTGACTCCCTTTCCCCATTTT